GCAGCCTCCTTCCCCACAGTCCTCCTCGCAGAGTGCTGCGGACCCTGTGGGAGCCGGTGCTCGTGGAGAGGGCCCTACAGGTGTTAGCTCTGGGGGTGCTGGAGTTGGAGCTGAGCCCGTGGTTGCAGGGGACTCTTGTCTTCCGGGAGCTGGTGCTGGCCCTGTTGACTTTGGGGGTGCTACGTCTGGGGGTGCAGGTGCACCCTCTTCGGGTCCTGGTGAGCCTGGTTGTGTTGCTGTTGGTGGTGCTGAATCTGGGGGTGGTGCGCCAGGTGCTTTGGAGGGCGGTCCCGGGGCTGCCGCAGCCCCCGACACTACTCCTCCCCCCCACCCCTACCCGACCCGGCACCAGGCTCGTGTTCGCCGTGCCCGTGAGGAGCAGCTGGAGTTGGAGAGAGGAAAAAGAGTTGCAGCGGCTGGAGGAGCAGCACCAGCAGCAGGAGCAGCTGCAGCAGCCGCAGCTGGAGCCGCCGCAGCAGCAGGAGGCGCAGGAGCTGGAGCCGCTACAGCAGCAGGAGGAGCAGCAGCAGCCGCCGCCGCCGCCGCCGCAGCAGCAGCAGCCGCCGCCTCCTCCTCCTGTCTCCGGTCTTCGGGCCCTCGGTCTCCCCTCCCGCTCTCCTTCCTCCTCCCCCTCTCCTCCCGTCTCGGGTCCTCCGCTTCCTCCTCCTGACCCCTCTCCACCTGTTTTCCCTCGTTCTCAGTCTTCGTTGTCCCCTCCTCCTTCTCAGACTTGGGCCTCTCATCGCTCCCCTCGTGCTCGTCCCCCGTCCCCTGTTCCCTTCACTGACCTTCGTACTACCTTACTTCGTTCTAGTCCGCCTCGTCCGTCTCCGTCTGTGCTTCCGTCTCCTCCTGAGTCGGCCCTCACTGCTTCGCTTTCTACTCCTGTCACTGACTACTACCGCACGTACCGTCCTGTTCTCTCTCGTATTCTCGCCTCTCTTGTTACCCACCCTCGTGCCTTTGTGTCCTCTGTCTCCGCTCTTACAGCCGCAGTCACTGAGTTTGCCTCTACTCGCCGCCTTGACTTCGCCACCAGTCTTGTGGCTGCTCCTCCTTCCAGTCCTCTGGCCGTCGGGGGTGTGTCTGCCCTTGGATGTGACGCCCTAGAGGACAGGCAGTTTGAGCTAGAGTTCCTAGCAGCCGCTTCCCCTCATCTCTGTGCCATGCTGCTCGCCCCTGACGGAGACCCCGACGCCCTAGACATACCGACTCCTCGCACTTACGCTGAGGCAGTGTCAGGGCCTTGGTCCTCTCAGTGGAGAGCTGCCATGGACGCAGAGATGGCCTCCTACAGATCCACAGGCACCTACGTCGACAAGGTTCCCCCCCCTGGAACGAACGTAGTCGATGGCATGTGGATCTACAGGGTGAAGCGGCCACCGGGATCTCCTCCGGTCTTCAAGGCGCGCTACGTGGCTAGAGGTTTCAGTCAGCGCGAGGGAGTTGACTTCTTTCAGACCTTCGCGCCCACCCCGAAGATGACCACTCTTCGGGTGTTACTGCACGTAGCAGCACAGAGAGACTACGAGTTACACTCTCTCGACTTCTCCACTGCGTTTCTTCAGGGTAGCCTACACGAGGAGGTCTGGCTGCGTCGTCCCTCTGCCTTCACTGGCACTTTCCCTCCTGGGACCCAGTGGAGGCTGAGGCGACCGGTCTACGGTCTCCGTCAGGCTCCTCGTGAGTGGCACGACACCCTTCGTTCTACTCTCGCTGACCTTGGTTTTCAGCCGTCGTCTGCCGACCCGTCGCTGTTCGTTCGTCGTGGCTCCACACCGTTCTTTGTTCTAGTCTACGTCGACGACCAGGTTTTCGCCACTGCTGACAGGGTTGCCTTGGCAGACGTGAAGTCCGAACTGCAGAAGAGACACACGTGCACTGACCTTGGTGAACTGCGTCACTACCTTGGCCTGCAGATCACCAGGGACAGAGCTGCTCGCACCATTACACTCTCACAGTCACACATGGTGCAGCAGGTCCTTCAGCGGTTCGAGCTTCAGCACTCCACAGTACAGCGCACACCTCTTTCTGTTGACCACAGACTCACTGGACCCTTTCCTGACAAGCTGTTTGAGTCCAGTGGTCCCTACGCAGAGCTAGTGGGCTGCCTCATGTACCTGATGACTTGTACTTGCCCGGACCTCGCCTTCCCTCTCAGCGTCCTTGCCCGCTTTGTTGCGCCAGGGAGGCACCGTCCTGTTCACTGGACGGCAGCTGTGAGGGTGGCGAAGTACCTAGCGAAGACATCAGGCGTGGGGCTAGTTCTTGGAGGGCAGCAGCCTGTCGTACTTACTGGTCACTGTGACTCTTCTTACGCTGACGACGCTGAGACTCACAGGTCTACTCAGGGGTACTGTTTCAGCTTGGGTTCTGGAGCTGTTTCCTGGCGGTCCACGCGCTCCTCTTCGGTCTCGACCTCTACAGCTGAGGCTGAGATCTACGCTGGTGCCATGGCGGCACAGGAGCTGCGTTGGTTGACGTTTTTGCTCGCTGACCTTGGTGAGCGGCCGAGCTCTGCACCGACCTTGCTCACTGACAACAAGGCGTCGATTCTTCTCTGTCGTGAGCCGCGACTGGAGAGCAGAGTGAAGCACATTCACGTCAGGTACTTCCTTTTGCGAGAGTTGCAGAGACGTGGACAGGCTCGCTTCGAGTTTGTGGAGTCCGAGGCCAACACTGCAGACATCTTCACCAAGGCGCTTCCGCCTTGTGACCACCAGAGGTGTTGTGTGCAGTTAGGCCTTGTTGTCACGGGTTCTAGTCGTGTATAGGCTTGAGTTTACTGTTTGCTTTGCTTGTACTCTTGCTATACACACTTGTGAACTCTTGGACTGGCCTTGTGGCCACTGTTGCTTGTGCTCAGAGTGTGTGGTGACGTTGTGATCCACCCTGAGCTTTGTATCTTTGTGACTTGTCTTGTGACCGTACACTTTTGGTTTTGCTAGACACCCCTCACTTAGGCTATGGGGGTGTGTCAAATGTTGTAACCTATAATGAGGTTTGTCTTAGGGGGTACAGAAGTTAGGGTTTGTCATATGTACCCCAACTCACATCAATGACATCATCACTTCTTTTCTTGACAATTTTCACCACATTTAGGATAACACCACCGGGTTATCTAACCGGGAGACTACGGTAATAGAGTGATATATACATTGTGTAGAAACAAACGGCTTTTCTGGTCAAATTCTGCAACTCCCGATTCGTGCCTTGTTTGCACTTGGAGTACAAATCTTGACTCCAGGCTTTAACTTATCCACACATTCATACCCATTCATTCGCCTGTAGCAGCCCTTGATACTGTAGAAGTACTTGACATTGATGTACTTGCAGTCATCCCCTGGTGAGATGGTGTAGGTGCTGGTTCTGGAACACATGCCCGCTGTGAAGTTGGTGACGCTGCCAATGCACACCTGCAGGCACGAGAAAATAGAAAAATGGGAGACGGCAAGAAGCGGACATGATATGGCGCAACATGTCACTGTGAAGTTGGTGACGTTGCCAGGAGAAACAGCGAGCAAAAAGCATTTGCAGAGTGCGTGAAGGACAGACTATGTCTGGGGGCTTGACTATGGTCTGAGGGCTATCTTCATTTGGCCCGCTTTGCACAGTGGCTCCATTCCTGACTTGCTTCTAAATGTTCTCGAGGTGAATGGTGTCAATCTGCCACCACCCCTGGTCAGGGTTCCATCCGATCCTATCGTGATAGGCTAAACTTTGCTCTAACATTTACTGACCAGGCCATTAAGCCCGTGGTTTATACCCGGACCAATGAGCATATAGCCAGTTGACAATTATATGCCCACCCTAAATTCCGTCAACCCTGGTAAAAGCGCACTCAGGTCCAAATGGACTCGGAACAAGTGAAAGTTCACCATGGGCTAAATTGCCACTTGGCCAATGTGTGCTCGTTCCAAGAGAATTTGCCACAGACATGTCAGAAAAAAACATGACTAGCTCACCTGACATAATTACCACGGGCGGGCCTGTCCAACGAAACTGCCTTGACATTCCTGCGCCATCAACTCCTAGCAAGCATTGCTGCGACCATGCCAGGTGCACGCCTGCGTGGCCAGCACTGCTGCCGCTGTGGCAACATTGCATCACAGCGCTTGAAGTGCCCGAAATCTAAAAGTACGGTTTGATTGTCCCATGGACTTAAAAAAAAAAACCAAGGAGCCTTTTGATTGTTTTCTATAAGCCCACCTGGGCTTTTATCTGGGGGACGACAGCAATATGGTTGGTCTTATCATCTCCGGCTATGCTCTAACGCTTCTCAAGCATCAACATTTCTCAAGTCACCATCTCATTGTCCCCCGTCTGTGCGCCACCTGTTGCTTGTGCCATCCTTAGCCTATTCTATGCCACTTCTACGCTGGTCATCCCTGGCAGCACCATGTGTGTTGCCTGCACCATCTGCACGCTACCTGCTCACCACTTGTCCACCCAAACCAACTCACCATTCTTCCCCTCCTCCTTCATCCCCTTTGTTTAAAGCAGCTGGTCACTGCTTACCATTTCCTCGCCATCCTCTTTTTCTCAGTCCTCACTTTACTGCTCAGAAGCCGTTCCCCTTCAGAATGCACCCACCTCTTCATCCTCCTCCAGCTGCTCAGAACCTCTCTCGTCCTCATGGCCTCTTCCTCTGGCATGCATTTCTTCCCTTGCTAGTCCTCCACCTTGCATTGCACCCAATAGTAGCGGAGTAGATTTTCCCAGGTGGCTAAACTGCCTCAAACACATGGAGTCTCGCACTCTTGTGACTGACTCTGGTCTGGCACTTGGCAGGAAAACCTCCCTTCTATCTCGTCGTCCCTTGTCCCTCCTCTCACAATAATGGCACTGGCGTTGTCGGCCTTGGGAGTGGCACTGAGGGCACTGATTGAGCAGGTGGCGGCCATTGTCCAAGCGGCTGTTGACACGTCGACTTTGAAGCCGCTGCTTGTGGACTCCGGTGGTTTAATCTGACAATTTCGTCTCCAACTGTACACACCTTCCTACCAAGTTGGCTTGGCCGTGTCACTCAATCGCTCAACTACATTGTATCCCGAGTCTCCTCTTCCCCGTATAACATTGCACCACATTGCTGCATCATACCCATTCACCACAATGCGTGCACCATACTGCATTCACCAGAATCCATGCACCATACTCCATGCACCACAACCACAGTGCATACACCACACTGCATGCACCACAGTGACGCACCTCAGCACCAAAGGTGGTGGCGGAGCGGGAGTGGTTCTTGAGGGGGATGAGCTGGTTGCAGTTGACGCCGGGGTTGAGGCGGTAGAAGTCCACGGGGCTGAGAGGAGGCTCGGCCAGCTGCCTGATGCTGTCGCACGTGTCGTTGAGGCGCGCCCGGTAGTACTGGTCGCACACCACTGTCACATTCGCCACCCCGGGGTCCCTCTCGATGCACACGGCCTGGGAGGGCCTCAGGGAGGAGCAGTCCACAGCGGGGTTGAGCGCCTGAAATGCCGCCTCACACGCCGCATCCGACGCCGCCGCCCCACACAGCTCCACCTGCCGCCCCACTCCCGTGCACGTGTCGCCCTGGAGGCACATGGGAAGGCAGAAGGACATCACAGGAACAAACAAAAGAGCACGAACTGAAAGGGGAAACGCTCATCCAGAGTGGGTCAATATTGTGCTGAATGGAAAAAGCATGCTGGACGTGAGGTGTGAAACAGACTTTGGAATAGCAGCTCGTGGAGCCACCGTTGCTGCTGTGTGCTGCGTGCTGTCTGCATGCGCAGTGGCTTATGGCTAAAGTTAATCGCCCACTGGAGCCCTCACAAGCAAGGTGGTGTAGAAGACAGAGCAGGGTTGCACTGTGGAGTTGACGCGCAAGGTTGAGTTGAGACGCAGAGGAGCAGAGCATGTGATACCCTGTGAGGCATTCAGGGGTTGATGGCACATGCAGGGGATGATGGCACATGCAGGGGATGATGGCACATGCAGGGGATGATGGCACATGCAGGGGATGATGGCACATGCAGGGGATGATGGCACATGCATGGGATGATGGCACATGCAGGGGATGATGGAACATGCAGGGGATGATGGCACATGCAGGGGATGATGGCACATGCAGGGGATGATGGCACATGCAGGGGATGATGGCACATGCATGGGATGATGGCACATGCAGGGGATGATGGCACATGCAGGGGATGATGGCACATGCATGGGATGATGGCACATGCATGGGATGATGGCACATGCATGGGATGATGGCACATGCATGGGATGATGGCACATGCATGGGATGATGGCACATGCATGGGATGATGGCACATGCATGGGATGGGGGCACACGCGAGAGACAATGGAGGATCAGGAACACTCGCACTGTCCTGCATGAAAACCAATGGTGAACTCAAGTATGTGCTGCAGGCAGGCACTCAGGTACCGTACTATGCATGAAACCGATAGGTGCTGTGCAGCACTCAGGTACCTTGTTCTGCTGCAGGAACTGGTCCAGTGTGAGGGCGAATATGGGATGCACATGGGAGCACCACACGTTGCTCTGCCGCACTGTGTACACCCCCCCTGCATCCCCTGCACCACACCACGGCGACACACACATTGGATTCCCAGCCCGACCAAGTCAGTGGAGTGAAAGATGCAGCAGAGCAACAAGGAAGGTGTTACTGGGATTGAAGGACGATAGTGGTCACCAGACGGGGATTGTATCCAGACATGCAGCGTTGCCCGGAACAGAGGAGAGAACATGTAGGAGGATGTTATTACCCGGAACACAGGAGGAGGGCAGAACATGGTTGCAACTCGGAACACAGGAGGAGGGCAGTAGAGGGCAGCAGAGGGGTGGTTACCCGGAGCACAGGAGGAGAGAGCAGGTACCCGGAGCACAGGAGGAGAGAGCAGGTACCCGGAGCACAGGAGGAGAGAGCAGGTACCCGGAGCACAGGAGGAGAGAGCAGGTACCCGGAGCACAGGAGGAGAGAGCAGGTAACCGGAACACAGGAGGAGAGAGCAGGTACCCGGAGCACAGGAGGAGAGAGCAGGTACCCGGAGCACAGGAGGAGAGAGCAGGTACCCGGAGCACAGGAGGAGAGAGCAGGTACCCGGAGCACAGGAGGAGAGAGCAGGTACCCGGAGCACAGGAGGAGAGAGCAGGTACCCGGAGCACAGGAGGAGAGAGCAGGTACCCGGAGCACAGGAGGAGAGCAGCAGAGGGGTGTTACCCGGAGCACAGGAGGAGAGCAGCAGAGGGGTGTTACCCGGAGCACAGGAGGCGGTGTTGGCGAGGGTGGTGCCCTGGATGAACCCCGGGGGACACACACAGGAGTAGCTGCCCTTGCCATCGTTCACACACGTGCCCACCACACATGGGTTGCGAGTGCTGGACCCACACACGTCCACTGGAGGCGAAGAGAGAAAAGTGGGGGCGGCATGTGCGCATGCATGAGGAGCATGGACAGAGGGCATAGGGAGGTGGATGGGAAGAGCATGCTGTGGGCGTGGGAGGAGGTGAGTGAGGAAGCATCAAAGAAATGAGCACGGGAATGGGTGTACAGAGCACACATAGGCATGGGATGGGGTGACATTGGCCAGGTGCAGGTGCGGTACGCATCCATACACAGGGTGAACCGAATAGTGTGAAGTCTCCAAATCACTGAGTGCGCGTGCATGTGCACATCACCAGTGACCCTCCCATGGTTTGTGTTACCATAGGCACAGGTGTACGACCCATCGGTGTTCTTGACTTGAGCAAAGCGGGCGTCAGTGCACTTGCAGCGATTGCTGGTGCCCTTCTTGCTGCAGTTATACCGCCCACACGGGTTGAAGGTGGGGCCTTGAATGCTGTACTGGAAGGAGCGTGACCCACACGGATCAGCACTGCCTGCTCAAAATCAAATCAAGTGGGAATGCAGTGTGGGCACATGGTTCATGCGCTATGGTACAGACAAACGGTAAATTCACCATCCGTTGGCACAGGGGTAAATGATTAGCCTCACTTCTAACAACAGGGAAGAGGCCCGGGAGAGTGTTGATGCCGCAGATGCCGTCGCCACTGCGAATGTCCATGCGCATGTGGCCCTGGTCGCCCCAGCCTGTGCCCCATGAGTTGCGGATGATCCAGAAGGGCGCCAGCACGGAGGTGGAGGGGTCGGAGCCCGCAGAGAGGTAGCCCACCACCAGCACCACGTGGTTCAGGTGGTTGCTGAAACACTCCTCGTCCGCGTACTTGCCTCTCTGCCCACACACACATAGAGTCACCAACACACACACACACACACGCGCGCGCGCGCGCGCGCACGCACGCACGCACGCACGCACACACGCACCCACGCACACACACACACATGCACACACGCACACACGCGCACTTATACACGCACGCACATACACACACACACACGCGCGTGCGTGCACACACACACACACACACAAAAACACAAACGCACACACACACACACACACACAAAAACACAAACGCACACACACACACACACACACATGCACGTACGCACGCACGCACGCACGCACGCACACATGCAATCATGCACGCGCGCGCACACACACAAGAATGAAACGTATGATCAGATGTCAGTGCAACAGCACCCAACATGCAGTGGTAGGCAAAAGGTAACTTGTAGTTACCGCTATCCTGGGAGGAGGGTGCCATACCACATCGTAGTCTTGGAAGGAGGATACCTTATGTTGCAATATGATACCTCGGGGTCCTCTACCACATCCAAATGCTAGATTTTGAGGTGCACTTGTTCATTCTATTGAGGTGTTGTTGGACGCAAGCTTGACCAACCACAACTTGTGGTTGCTCACGATTGCGTGTGGCCCTTGGACCTGGATTGGCACTGCCAGTGCCAACCCTTGGTCCTTAGCTCCACGGATCCCAACCAACCCACAATTGTGGTTGCTTGGTCTACAAGCAACCTCACCCATCGGCCAAATTGGTGGCCAATAGGGTTAGCTTCCTATTTTCACCCGTCTCTTGGCTCAACTCAATACAATGTTTTTTAATCCTTTTTAACACCTACCCCGTCGAAGCCTTGAAAGGAGGGTGCCTTACCCCGTCGAAGCCTTGAAAGGAGGGTGCCTTACCCCATCGTAGTCTTGGAAGGAGGGTGCCTTACCTCATCGTAGTCTTGGAAGGAGGGTGCCTTACCCCATTGTAGTCTTGGAAGGAGGGTGCCTTACCCCGTCGAAGCCTTCAAAGGAGGGTGCCTTACCCCATCGTAGTCTTAGAAGGAGGGTGCCTTACCCCACCGTAGTCTTGGAAGGAGGGTGCGGACGCCTCGATGTGCACAATGACAGGCTGCTGCTGCACTGCCAGCATGAGCCCAAACCACCCGTAGAACCCCGTGCGCCCGATGCCGCGGATGCCATAGTACTTGGTGCTCGCCTGTAGGCAGGGAGGTGGAATACTGAGAGATGGCGGACAAAACATCGTACGGATGCCATAGTCTTAGAACTTAGGCTTAGAAGCGATGCATTAGTAATGAGCTTGAAGCTCTTTAAGTACATCCAAGAAGGGGAGGGAATGGATGGGGAAGGGAATCGGGGGCAATCCATAGGGATTGGGGGTAATCCCAAGGCAATCTCCAATTGGTGGGTTGGAGATTGCTTGGAGATTACATTTGGGTTTGGTTGGGATGTAGGTGTACACCCAACCAAACACAATGTGCAAACTACACTACTCTAGGATATAGAAAATACAAAGTACACAGTGTGAGATTGAAGGCTAACACTAACACCCCCCCATAGGCGTCAATCGAACTCATGGTAGAGAGGGTGGTGCACAGAGCCCCATGGCGCCTAGGAGACGGTGGTGGGGAACTTTCCCAAGGGGCTTGGTGAACAGATCAGCCAGGTTGCAGTCAGATGCAACGTATTCCACTTTCAGCTGCTCCTGTTGGACAAGGTCACGGATGAAGAAGTGCCGAAGTTCAATATGCTTGGTGCGGGTGTGATACACAGGGTCTTGAGAGATGTGGATGGTACTCTGGTTGTCACACCAGAGGGTGGGGGCGGACTGTGGGAAACCAAGCTCCTGGAGTAGGAAGGTGAGCCAACGGGCCTCCTGAGCAGCCATGGTGCCTGCGTAGAGCTCTGCCTCACAGGAGGAGAGGGAGACTGCAGACGACCTGGTGGAGCGCCAACTGACAATTCCGCTCCCAAGGGTGAAGCAGTACCCCTGAGAGGAGCGTCGGTCGTCTGGTCATCAGCCCAGGAGGAGTCGGTGTAACCTTCCAGGCGAGGAGGAGAGAGCCCACCGAGTGTGAGAACGTGAGACTTGGTGCCCTGAAGATAGCGCAGCACCCGCTTCGCCGCCTTCCAGTGAAGATCAGTGAAGCGTCCAGGGGCCACGTAGCGAGAGAGGACACTGACAGGATAGGCCAAGTCCGGTCGGGTGCACATCATGGCGTACATGAGGGACCCAACAAGCTCCGGGTATGGCTCAGAGCAGGCCTCTGGGGTGGGTACAGCTGGAGCAGTGAGGAGGTGTTGCAGCGGCAGCGGGGTGGCAACAGGTGTGCACAGCTCCATCTCAAACCGCTTGAGCACATTGTCGATGTAGAACTCCTGGGAGAGTGAAATGGTGCGAGCCTGGCGATCACGAGTGATCTCCATCCCCAGGTAGTGCTTGAGGTCACCGAGGTCTTTCATCTGGAGAGCCTTGCTCAGGGCTGCCTGGACAGAGGTCATCTGGGCCGAGTCCTTGGCAACGAGGATGAAATCATCCACGTAGACCAGGATGTAGAATGGCTCAGAGTGACGGCGGATGAAGAGAGTCGGGTCAGCAGTTGAAGGGTGGAAGTCCAGGGAGAGGAGGACTTCTTTCACCTTGTTGTGCCATTCGCGAGGGGCTTGCTTAAGGCCGTAGACGGGGCGATTCAGCTTCCAGACAGTGTTGGGAGGGAATTCTCCTGGGAAGCCTTCTGGTCTGTCCATGAACACCGTCTCCTTGAGACGTCCTTGTAGGAAGGCGGATGAGGCATCCATGGATTTGATCTCAAAGTCTTCTCGAGCTGCGACATCCATGAGCGTACGAATGGTGGGAGGTTTGGATGTGGGGGAGAAGGTTAGGAAGAAGTCGCGGTACTGCTGCTGGGTGAAGCCCTTGGCTACGTAACGCGCTTTGAACACCGGGGCCTCGTCTGGGAGCTGTTTTACACGGAACAACCACTTGCCCCCGACGATGTTGACTCCTGGAGGTGGTGTCTCGTCGTCGAAGGAGTGGTTGCGGGTGAATGCTGCAATCTCCGCTTCCATGGCAGCACGCCATTCGGCAGCATGAGGGCCTGAGAGAGCCTCTTGGACGGTGAGAGGGATAGGGATGGTCGGGTTCTCCGCGAAGTTGAGGGAGGGTGAGTCAGTGATGTCGGGGAAGATGTGCGAGAGCTGAGGAATGACTGCATGAAGATCACACAGCTCCTCATGCCTGTCTTCCAGAAGGGTAGAGGGCACATCCCCCCCAGCAGGAGGAGGCGGTGTGATCGCCGTGTATTGAAGGACCAGCGCTAGTGGAAGAGCCGCGCCATGCGAACGAGTGCCATGAGCCACCGGAGAGGAGGGTGGGGCAGGCGGTGTCGGAGGGGTTGACTTAGGAGGCTTGGGCGGGGGAATGGGCCGCCGGTGGTACGTGATCAGCTCGGGCGACTGTGGGAGAGCGGGTTCCTCTGTGGTGGGGGGAACCGGGGGAGGAGGTGGGGCCGGAGGGTGGGACCGCCGATGGTAGGTGATAGGTGCGCTCGGAGGTGGCTGCACAGTCGGCGGAGTGGAAAGTGAGGGGGATGAAGGAGCAGCTGCCGAAGACACCGGTGAGGGCGGGTCAGAGACCGCAGAGGGGGACGGTGCGGTGGCAGGAGGGGTAGGGGGCAACCCTTGCCCACATCCTACCCATTCGTTAACTCTAGGGCCAAGGTGCGAGTCAGTTGAGCTGCTTGCGATGACTTCTAGGTGCTAGCTGGGACCCATTCGGCCCACTAGGCATGCTGGAATTGAATTCGCCACCTTTTCCCAACAACCTCCTCGATCCTCCCAGCCCCTCGGCTCTGAAATGAGCATTCTTCGGTACAGTGCATTCCTCGCACACAAAATGGAAGTAAGAATACAAAAGCCGAGTATAGCACAACATTACCTTACTTGCTGTGCAATTCACACTTAGCTGGAGGCTGAACATACAATAGCGCGACAGCTGGCGCTGGGGTTGGGCTAAGCGCAATGTCGAGAGATTTGTAGAAAGTGTGTGGTGGGGGTTGGGTCTTGTAGATTCAGTTCGGAGATGAGTGGTGAGCGGTGGGGATGTTTCAACACATTTGTTGGAGATGCGGGAGTGCCTAGGCTCAGTAAATTACTGGCAAAATACCGGTCTGCGCAGATTGGCAGTGGAAAGTCATATTGGATCCATGCATGCACCGCGTACCAACAGGTTCGAATGTTTGTGGGAGAAATGCACGTACAAGGAGGAAATGTTGGGTAGTGCGGAAAAGAAGTCTAGTAGAGGCCCAGAAAGCGTGTTGCTACTTAGTCCTCTGAACGAAGGCAAACAGATCAAGTAGCACGCACAATGTAATTGGTGGGGGAAAGGAAGGGTCAAGTCGAGTTAAGTCGGGTGACTTTGGTCCACTTCACCAATTGCCTATACCTAATGGTAGGCGGAAATGGGGGGAAAGGTTGGCTTGCAAGCAAGTAGAGCCGAAAGAATGCATTTTGATGTGCACATGGCAGATGTGAGCACGTACCGGACTCGAAACAGATCTGGTTGAACCAGATCGAACCAGATCGAACTGGCATGATAACCAAACAGAACCGACATTACGGATGCAAAAGTTTCGAACATGACTTGTCGAACTTCACAAGGTTCAAGTTGAAGTGTAGGGAGTTCGACCCAATCTGGTTCGAGTGGTCGGTGGTAGGAGTTTCTAGACAGGAAAAGATGGGGAACGGTGCATTGTTTTTCTACCATCGACCAGCTGTTAGGTTTTTATTTTCTTGATCCACACACTCGCACTCGTTTTGCTTTTGCACCTGTGTTTGATGTCACCGAATATGCACTTCGTGCATATGCGATAACAGTTGGTGCGAAGGTGTAGATGCAAGTGTAGGTTCAGGTGTAGTCTTTGTATGATTACAATTTGTGGGTGAGTTGCTGGGGAGTATGGGGGGTTGAGGCGAAGTTGTTGGGAAGGGTTAGAGGAAACATCGCGTCTTATTAAGTTTGGTACGTTCTTCATTGCTCCTTTTGGAGATTCAGGTTGACGCAAACTATGTCGGAGAGTTTAAGGTGAATGAGGATGATGAATGGTACCCTGTGAATGACTTTAGCTATCCATCAACCAAATCGAATTTGGTTGGCATTCCATGAACGAACCCTGAACCGGTTATGTAAGAAAGGTTCGGTTCGGTACTGAACCAGTTTGAATACAATAATGGGTGCAGCTCATGTCTTAGCATGGCCACACTTTGCCTTCCCTGGCCTGTCAACATTTGATGGTAGCGCAGCACCGGCAACAAAAGAATTCAGCAGCACGAACAGCAACTCACAGAAATTGAACCTTCTTCAGATGTGACAACTCTCTTGGCAGTGTTCCTTCTATCAAGTTCACCTGTATTGAGCTGCACCTCACAACACAAAGAAGTACACACAAAGGTTGACTGAGTGAGGATTACCCATGCTAGCTAGAATTGCATGTGGAATCATCAAGCTGGTCTAGTGGGATGTGTGCTGGAACGGGTGCATGCCTTCAAGAATGGAACGGGTGCATGCCTTCAAGAATGGAACGGGTGCATGCCTTCAAGAATGGAACGGGTGCATGCCTTCAAGAATGGAACGGGTGCATGCCTTCAAGAATGGAACGGGTGCATGCCTTCAAGAATGGAACGGGTGCATGCCTTCAAGAATGGAACGGGTGCATGCCTTCAAGAATGGAACGGGTGCATGCCTTCAAGAATGGAACGGGTGCATGCCTTCAAGAATGGAACGGGTGCATGCCTTCAAGAATGGAACGGGTGCATGCCTTCAAGAATGGAACGGGTGCATGCCTTCAAGAATGGAACGGGTGCATGCCTTCAAGAATGGAACGGGTGCATGCCTTCAAGAATGGAACGGGTGCATGCCTTCAAGAATGGAACGGGTGCATGCCTTCAAGAATGGAACGGGTGCATGCCTTCAAGAATGGAACGGGTGCATGCCTTCAAGAATGGAACGGGTGCATGCCTTCAAGAATGGAACGGGTGCATGCCTTCATGTCGTTTTCTACTTGGTCAAAACAATACACAAGGCACCACTTCACGATGCCACGGGGAGGGGCCACCTGTGGCACATATTCGGGTGCTCACAGGTATTCCAGGTTGCTGAGCTTGCTGATGTCAGCAGGAATAGAGCCAGAGATGCTGTTGTAGTTCAGATCCCTATTGCACCGAGCACACATGATTCGTCACTACACACACACACACAACCATTTGACCCCGTGCTATCATGAGCATTCAGATATGTGAGCACACTGACAGACAGGGGAGCTGGAAAGGTAGATGCGAATGGTCACTCGCAGAATAGACTCAGTGGACGCACGACAACAATTTCAAGGCAATTGCATACCAACTGCGACATCTAGATCTGTTGCATTATCGGTATGCTAATGGTTCTGTAGCAGTTTGTGCCTTTGCAAAAAGCCTCAAAAACACAATGCTTGCCATAGAAACTCTGCAGAGCCCTTGCCTTTGCGGACCAGGCATGAGCAACAGTCTGAGCCAAAGGCGGCTCGGCTCGTCAGACTGGCAACCACGTCGACAAGTCGAGCCAGCGATTTTACTCCACTGGCTCGCTCAATTCAAGTCAAGCGGGCTCGTCAGCTCATCAACGCAAAGCCAGCAGCCCACAAGCTGCTCGTCCACAAGCTGAAGGTTGGCTCGACACGTAGCCCCTCCCAGATCTGTGCGTCGGTGAATCACCGGGTCCACCCAGATTTGGCTGGCCGCCAATCGCCGAATCCGCACAGATTTGGCCGACAGCGACGAACGATACTGGCTTGTTGATGAGCCGAGACCAGCTTGTCGTGGCTCGCCTCCGGCAAACGGCCATGTGCCGGGTCAGCTGGCAGCTTGGCTCATCTATCGGCTGGCTCGTTGCGGCTCGAACGGAGCCGGCTAGGCTCAGATCAGTGGACTCGTCCATTCAGGAAGAGTGGGTGGGACTCACAGCCTGGTGAGTTGCCGCAGAGTGAAGAGGGCGGATGGCAGCGAGCCAGACACCTGGCAGTTAACGAGAGTGCTGCAACGGGATTGGCAGAGAGTCAAAAGCAAACGAACACACTGTTAATGTTAGCCCTCAATCTCACCTTTTGTATATGTACTTTTTATATCCTAGTTTAGTGTAGTTTGCACTTTGTGTTTGGATGGGTGTACAACCACATCCCAACCAAACCCAAACGTGATCTCCAAGCAATGTCCAACGCACCGATTGGAGATTGCCTTGGGATTACCCCCAATCTCTATGGGATTGCTCCCGATTCCCTCCTCATCCATACCTGGCTCATTCTGGATGTACTTAAGGAGCTTCAAGCTCATTACTAATGTATCGATTCTAAGCTCAGTTCTCACACACACGTACGGGCAGCTGCAGAAGCACAGCAAAAGGCACTGTCGAGGATGGGCACAGTATGGCAATATGGTCACAAAGCCACTCGTTACGATTGCCACAAAGTGGATGCATGAGACAGCAAGAGAAAGAAGGTTGACAATCCGGGCATGAAGGGGAATAAAGGCGGTCTGGCTGGAGCAAAGAGTGATGCTCTTGTATGAGAAAATAAATCCTGTTTGAAGAACAGACGATTGTCTCACAGTGATCGAAGATAGGAGAGGCCACTAATGGCGTTGGGGATAGGCTTTGTAATAGCCTGGTCAACCACCTTTCTGGGGTCATGAGACAGCATGGGAGACAATGAGGCAGCGGCGGATTGGGTTGAAAGCACAAAGGAAGACGAGATGAGGATGCTGGCAGGTGGAAGCGATAACAAGGCACGAGGAAAACAAACACATGGACATGGGTGACAGGAAATAGCATCCCTCAGAATGGTCGCACTGGGCAACAAATGTGCATCCATACAAGCACTGCATGCTTTTAGCAAATCACGATTGTATCTCATGGTTTTCTGCACAAAAACCAGCTGTGTCCACTTCAGCGCTTTTGCACATGATCTGCCTGGCGCCACGACACAAACAATGCGCTGCTGCTGTGTACGAGAGTGGATTACACAGATGTGACAAAGCCGTTGGAGGTGCAGGCGATGCCCCTCATCGCTTGACAGTCGTTGTTGTAGAGCCACGAGACAGCACTACCAAACATGCCCCACTCGTCTACTATTTCCATCAGCACTCCTTCTGAAATTATTACATCAAAATGATTAGAACAGTGCGGCAGAGAAGAGTGTGACATGCAGGAAATGGGAGGAATATACCATCTGAAGGCAAGAAAACCAAGAGGTAGCAAATGTGTGCCAAACAAGCGGTGGCAGCGGTGGCAGGTGGCCTTCTACGCTAGGCATGGTTACTATACTACGGATGAGCACGACCCCTGACTCGACTCAATTCACAAGCTTTGCTTGGCGTCCAGGTTCGATGCATGTAATGCACTCATTGATGGTCTGCTAGGTGAATTCTCCAGACACGGCTGCGTAATCCCGGCCCGAACGGCCCTGCTTTGCTGACCCGACCAGACCAGGCATAAAGTCGAGTCGGGTCAGGAGTCGCATGCTCATGCCTACTTGTGGACGGTTTATGGCGCTTCAAGCATCAGACGCTGGACGCGTCCACGCGTTGAGATAGCGGGAAATTTTGGTTCACGATTTTGGCTGGATTTATCCAACTCAGGGTAGCTTGCTGCCAACCACCGCACCGCCCCCTCCCCCCCCTCCCGGATTGCTTCCTTTTTCCCGAACCTAAACAATAATTCCACTGCCCGGCCTAGCATGTATCCAGCGTGGTACAGTCTAGCATTCAGATGGTACCGTCTGGGCGCTAGCCTCCAGACCAGAACGCAGGACGAGTCTATGTCCACTTTGAGGGGGGTACGGGTTGGACGGACGGGGGAAAAATGGTGGGACGCTGCAAAGCAGGGAAAGCGAGAGAGGGGGAAAGAAAGCGAGATAAGAACCTAATGAACAAGCATAGATGTTTTATATTCGTGTCCAGGAAAGCCTGGCAAGTTGGGCTCGACAAAGCAATGTACGCACGCACCCTGAGAAGGCTGGATTAACTGCGCAGACGCCTCCCTACAAATGCACAGCAGCGCCAGCAGCAGTACGATATGAGCGTGTCTTGGCATGGCGACCTCGTGTCGCCACATGCTTTGCTGCATGATGGGATGGACGGTGGATCGCCGGGGGTAGGTAGAAGCATTCGCTACAAGGTTCGTCTCCTCTGGGTCAACTCCTAGACCTTACTTTGACTGTGAGTCATATTCCTCTATGGCTCTGTCTTTTGAAAAAACAGCTTCACACAACGCACACAAGCCGTGGCTCTTGATCGGGTCTAGGACAACGACACACCACAAGAGCCGGATTCAACAGGCATGTGAATACACTCAAGTGCAGAGGCTAAAAACACCCTGCAGAGGCGATATTTCCAACCAGGTAGTACACACGGCACGATCAACTTCTTCTCCCCTTCGGTCCCTCGACGGCCCCATTCCCCCGCCAACGCTCACGTTCACTCCGCGCTCATGTTGGTCAGCGCCACTGGCGTCAGCGCCGCGCAAGCGCGCCCCCTCCGTGAGTCGCAATGTCGTATCCAAGCGGGCTGCCACGTTGACAATACGACTCAGACAGATCCCGAAACATCGCAGGCAGGATGCTAGGCAGTTATTGCTGAATCTAAGGTACTAGTAAGTACTGCTTGCTGCTTGCAACCCTAGGCGTGTCATACGAATGTTGCTTTGCGACTCCAAAGGCTGCTATAAATTAGAACGCGAACAAATCAACTCGTATCGAAAGCTCGAGGGCGTTGTGCAAGAATGCTGCGTGTCGTACAGGCTGTATCTGGTCCACCAGTTTGGTGAAGGCACGACTACACATTCGAGGGTTTCGTGCTGAAAGCCTAGGTCCTGTGCGAGACACGTGCCTGCATTTGCAAATCTCACCGTTTTCTGCCAAGATTCAACCTCTACGGCGTGTCCAATGCGAACTTCTAGACCTCACCTGCGCGCTGCCCCTGTCGACCCGCGCGTCGCCCCAGGGAACCCGCGCGCGCTGCCCCGTCGACCCGCGCGCTGCCCCCGTCGACCCGCGCGTCGCCCCAGGGGACCCGCGCGCGCTGCCCCGTGGACCCGCGCGCCGTCCCTTGCCCTCGTGCGCCACGGGGCAACTTCTCCTCCCCCCCCCCGGCCCCCCCTTCTCCTTCCTCTCCCTGCTGCGCGTGCAGCCGTAGGGTGGAGGGTATGGGGGTGGCGGGTATGGGGGTGGCGGGTATGTGAGTCGTCCCTTGCTCCTCCTCCTCTCTCTCCCACTACTGCAATTGCCGCTGAGGGGGGTGGGTGTGTGGGAGCCGAGGGAGTGGCGCTAGGGGGGTGTCGTGGGAGTGGAGCTAGGGGTGAAGCAAGGGGTGTGTGAAAGGGGTGTGGGACAGTTGGGGGAGGTTGAGCGGAGGTAGCCGTCGTGACGTCAGCAGCGCCAGTAGTCCGGGGCCCTTGCTCCGGTAGCCCAGCGAGCCTGCTGCGCCAGTCGCCCGTGGTTCCGTTGCTCCTGCCGCTCGTCTTAGCCGCGGAGCCAGTTACTCTTGTAGTCCGAAGCCCTTGCTCTGGTAGCCACCTTGCGCGCCGCTCTTGTTGCCCGTGTGCCAGCGGCTTCACCCATCGCCTCCTATCTCCACTCCTCTCACAGTCCTTCCTCCTCCTCACTTGCCCTCTGTGACTGCCTCTAGCATGCGACTGCTTGCTGTGCTGATCATACCCCACTTTGCCTATGGGGGTGTGTCAGAATGCTATAATTGTCTAGTCTGCAATGGGGTACTCTATAGTGAGTACAGCCCAAATATGTATCCTATCTGCTGCTAGTGCAGCCTCTCTTCTTCTGTTATCTTTTCTCCTTTGTAAAACCTAAACCCTAGCCATGGCTACTATGTCAGAAAGTAGGAATCAAGAATGAATAGAATGACAGCAGTACAGCGTTTGTATATGCAAAACCTAATTGGGCTGTACCCCATAAGGAGTGCCCCACTACAGCCTAGAGCATATAAATGCGTAGTTCTGACACACCCGCACACGCAAAGTGGGGGACAAGCAAGAGAACATGGCAAGGTCAAGCTCATGGTGGATTACAACGTCACCACGCAGTCCGAGCACAAGCAAATGGCCACAAGGCCAGTTCACATGCAGAATTATATGTAAAAAAGAACAAGCAGTACAGTGATCACAACCTAGCAAGTGTAAGCATGCAGGTATAAGTATATAGATCACAGTACAAGCAAAATCAAGAAGTGAGCAAGTGAGGCCAAGTAGGCACAAGGCCTAGAACAGTACAAAAACGTTAATGATCACAAGGGTGAAGTGCCTTGGTGAAGATATCAGCAGTGTTGGCCTAAGAGGCCACGTAAACAAGACGAAGCTGACCACGCTGCTGCAACTCTCGAGCAAGGAAGTAGCGCAGAGCGATGCGCTTCGTTCTGTGCTCTTGTCTGTGGTTTTAACACAAGGCAATCATGGCCTTGTTGTCGACGTACAGAACTGAAGGAGAACGAGGCCGCTCTCCCAAGTGGGTCAGCAAGTAGGTGAGCCAGCGTAACTCCTGTGCAGCCATGGCCCCTGCGTAGAGCTGAGAACAGAAGACGAGCGGGTAGACCGCCACGAAACAGAACCAGAGCCAAGGCTAAAGGTGTAACCCTGTGACGACTGCTGCGCAGCCAAGTCGTCAACCCAAGACGCGTCTGCGTGACCAGTGAGGACAACTCGAGCCCGTCCTCCAAGCACGAGCCCCATGCCCGACGTACTGCACAAGTAGCGCATCACCCTCTTAGCGGCCTTCCAGTGCTCTGGTCGGTGTCTCCCGGGTGCAACGTAGCGTGCCATGATGCTAAGTGGGTAAGCAAGGTCAGGTCGAGTGCAGGTCATCAGGTACATGAGGCAGCCCACAAGCTCTGGATACGGGCCACTCGGCTCTACGGACTCATCCGAAGGCAGAGCTGAGAGCGAGTGACCGGTAGGCAGAGGAGTGGACTGTGGCGAGGAGTACTGGAAGTCGAAGCGCTGAAGGACCTGCTGCACCATGTGTGACTGAGTCAAGGTAGTGGTGCGCCGTGCTTTGTCCCGGGTGATCTGCAAGCCAAGATAGCTGCGCAGCTCACCCAGGTCTGTGCACCTGTGTCTCTTCTGCAGCTCCGACTTCACTAGGGCCAGTCCAGCAGTGGCAAAGACCAAGTCGTTGACGTACACGAGGATGTAGAACGGCGGCAGCAAAGTGTCGGTGCGTAGAAACAGCGACGGGTCAGCAGAAGGAGCAAACCCAAGAGCCGCAAGAGTCGTCCTCAGTGTGTCGTGCCACTCGTGAGGCGCTTGGCGGAGATCGTAGAATGGCCGCCGGAGGCTCCACTGGGTACCTGCAGGAAACGACCCAGTGAAGCCAGGTGGGCGGCGCAGCCAGATCTCCTCGTGCAGGCTGCCTTGTAGGAAAGCAGTGTTGAAGTCAAGAGAGTGAAGCTCGTAGTCACGCTGAGCGGCGACGTGCAGCAGAACCCAAAGAGTGGTCATCTTCAGGGTCGGAGAAAAGGTCTGGAAGAAGTCAACTCCCTGTTGGTGACTGAAGCCTAGTGCAACGTAACGTGCCTTGAAGACAGGCGGAGAACCCGGCGGCCGCTTCACCCTGGAAATCCACATGCCACTGACAATGTTCGCCCCAGGAGGGGGAATCTCGTCGACGTAAGTGCCTGTGGACTTCTAGGATGCCATCTCTGCGTCCATTGCTGGCTGTCACTGAGAGGAGTAGGGACCCTCTATCGCCTCTGCGTAAGAGCGCGGGGTCGGGATGTCTGGTGCATCCGGGCCTCCCTCAGGTGCAATCAGCATGGCCACGAGATGAGGTACAGCTGCTGCAACGCACTCAAAGTCCTCTTGCCTATCCTCAAGGACGTCCGTGCTAAGAGCACACTCACCCTCGACGGACGGAGGACAAACAGACTAGCAGCGTAGTCGAGACGACAGGCGGCAGCAAAGTCAACAAGCTCAGCAACAAGAGCAGACGCAGCAGTAGATGCAAACGAAGGGTCAGTGACAACAGTGGCCAGGAGACGCGTGACAGTAGGACTAGCAGCATGAAGGGAGTCAGACTCCGGGTCCGGACCGATAGGAAGGGAGGACGCAGGAGGAGACGGCAGAGGGACACGCAGTGGAACAGAGGAAGGACGAAGTGCCATCTGGTGCGTGCCGGGGATAGGAGGAGGACGCGGACGCGGAACGCGACTACCAGGCAGTGGGGAGGCAGGCTGGTCCAGGCAGTGGGGAGGCTGGCTGTAACTACGACTGCGACTGGTCAGGTGGTCGACACAGTAAGGGAGGAGTAGGACCAGTAGAAGGCGGTAGACCAAGAACCTGCTGAAGGAGTGGAACGAAGTACGGCCGCGACCCGCAGCACCTCTATAACCAGTAGAGACAGCACCTGTACCCCCAGCTCCAGGGTATCCAGCTCCAACTTTTGCAGCACCACCAGCTCCAGCACCTCCTGTAGCTCCAGCTCCAGCAGCACCTCCAGCAGTAACAGCTCCAGCGCCTCCAGCTCCAAATCCTGCAGCACCACCAGCCCTAGCAGCTCCAGTACCTCCAGTACGAGCACCTCTTGGACAAGCGGCTCCAGTAGCAGCAGTACCTCCAGCTCCAGCAGCAGTACCTCCAGCTCCAGCAGCTGCGCTAACGGTAGGCCCCCCAGCTCCAGCAGCACGACTCCAGCGCCGAGCAAACCACTCGCGCAGCTACGGTGGAGAGAGTGGCTCCCGCCGTGACAAGACACCCGTAGGACCTCCAAAAGACAAAGTACCTCCAGGCTCAGCACGCTCAGGCTCAGCACCCCCAGGCTCCGCACGCTCAGGCTCAGCACCCCCAGGCTCCGCACCCTCAGACTCAGCAACCCAAGGCTCAGCACCCCCAGACTCCGCACCCTCAGACTCAGCAACCCCAGGCTCAGCACCCCCAGGCTCCGCACACTCAGGCTCAGCACCCCCAGGCCACGCACCCGCAGGCTTAGCACCCCTAGCAGCACCAGAGTCGACAGCTACCTCGACAGGCTCGACAGCTACCTCAACAGGCTCGACAGGGTCTACCTAGGACACACCTGAGGGGGCAAGATTTTGAGGGGGGAGGGGGTCTACCGG